GTCCTCGCGCCGTGCCGTCATGGGGTGGGGAAACTCCTCGCCGTTAGGTCGCGGCTGGTGGGCCCACCTGGGCTGCAGGGGAAGGGGGGGCGGTGCTGGTGAGTCCCACGGCACCTCCACAGCTCCCCCGCACCCCCTGCAGCGCGTCTGCAGCACCCAGAGCATCGCACTCCCAAGGGTGGCACATCCCTCTCTGTGTCTATGCCAGGCTGGGACGTCCATGCAGGGCTGGCACCTCCCTCCCCGTGCCTGGCCCTGCCCCATGTCCCTGTCCTGACCACCATCCTGCACTGGCACCCCCAGAGCCACCTGCTGCCACCCTTAGGACAGTGACACAGGGATGTGGTGGCCCTTGCAGCAGGGCAGGAAACAGGGGAAGCAGCTTGACCAGATAGCCCTGGAGTAGACAGGCACTGGCTGCCTCCTGAGGTGATGCTGAGGACGTGGTGACACTGGGGACATGGTGACGAGGGAGGTTCCATCCCCCAGGTGCTGTGAGTGTGGGGCCTCCCTGTCCCACCAGTATTATGAGAAGGATGGGCACCTGTACTGCAAGAAGGATTACTGGGTGCGCTTTGGGGAGCTCTGCCACGGCTGCTCTGAGCACATCACCAAGGGCCTGGTCATGGTGAGTACTGGGGTGGCCTGGGGGGGGACACAGGGCCCTGGCCCACCACTGAGTTCCCTGGAAAGGGGGCAAGGTGGGGCGGGGGTGTGGACCCACAGCACCAGTTGGGCTCTGGGGGTGGCAGAGATGTCCTCTGCATTTCAGGGTGACCCTGGGCCACGCCATGCCCCCATGTTTGGGCTGGGGGTGCTCAGGGTGGTGGTGAGATATCCGTGGATGCCACCCCATCCTGGTGGCATTGCCATCACCACCACACCGTAGTTCAGCCTCCTCGTCCTCTGGCCCTGGTGCACCCATGGGTGTTCCCTTCACCATCCAAGCCTAGTACCCCCCATACTGGGTCTCCTGGATACCTGGGTCCTTGGGGCTGATGATATCTGCCTGTAGGTGGCCGGGGAGCAGAAGTACCATCCGGAGTGCTTCAGCTGCCTCAACTGCCGCACATTTATTGGGGATGGGGACACCTATGCGCTGGTGGAGCGCTCCAAGCTCTACTGGTACGTCCAAGCTTAGGTGGGTAGGTGCTGGCAAGGGGACACATGTCCCCTGGTGCCCCCCAGCACCCATCCACCTCCTCCTGGCCCCACAGCGGGCACTGCTATTACCAGATGGTGGTGACACCGGTCATTGAGCAGATCCTGCCAGATTCACCAGCTGCCCGCATCCCGCACACCGTCACACTCGTCTCCATCCCCGCCTGCTCCGACGGCAAACGTGGCTTCTCTGTCTCCATCGACCAGGGCTGTGGCACTGAGCACCCCTGCACTGTCCGCGTCCGAGAGTGTGTCTTTGTCCCTTCCCTGGGGCTGGGGGCAGTCCGGCCCCCTCTACTGCTGGGATCCGCCCCACAGGGGCTTTTTGGGGTTGGATGGGGAGGGATGGGGCTGATGTGTCCCCATCAGCTGGGAATGGCCAGAGTGGACTGTGGTGGCATGTGCCCAGTGGCTGGAGTGGTTTGTGGGGACCGTCCTGACATGTCCCTGGCCGTCAGGGTGGCTTGGGGGTGACATGCTGGCAGTACCCTGTCTGCCAGTGTGGGCTGTGGCACTGGGCTGGCATGTTGCTTGGGATGGCTCACGGGGACTCTGCCAAAATGTCACCACATAGGAAGGGTGACTCGTGGGTACTGTGACTGTGTGTCTCCATCCCAGAGGGGTGACTCATGGGTGCTGTGACATGTCCCCATCGAGCAAAGGTGGCTTGTGGGCAGCAGGCCTCTGGGTCCCTTTCTAGCAGAGGTGGCTCATGGGCAGCCCACCTGCGCATCCCCATCTCACAGTGACTCAAGGGTACCATGACAGCATGTCCCCATCTTGCAGAGGTGACTAGCTGGTCCCCATTGGTTGGATGTGGTCTGTGGGCAGTGTCCCCACCCAGGATGGTGTCGGGGGGCTGACCCCCACTGCTTTCTGGTCCCACAGAGTGGATCCAGACTGCATCAGCCCTGACATGAAGAACTCCATCCACGTGGGTGACCGCATCCTGGAGATCAATGGCACCCCCATCGGCCACGTCCCCCTGGATGAGGTATGCTCCCCCTAGGGTGCCCCCCACCCTGCACCACGCCCCCCTGACCACCTCTGCCCTCCTCTGCTTCCAGATTGACCTGCTGATTCAGGAGACCAGCCGCCTGCTCCAGCTGACCATTGAGCACGACCCCCACGAGCCGGGCCCTGCCTGCAGCCCCCTGCCTGCCCCTTGCAGCCCCCTGCACTCCCCCCCTGCCCCACCCTGTGGGGACCCCGGTGCCATGCGCCAGCGGACCTTCACGTAAGGCCACCAGCTCACCCGCCTCTCCCTTGGGGGTCCCTTCAGAGGACTGACCCTCTGCCCATCTGTCCTGCAGGAGGAGCTGCAGCACGGACAAGTCTCCAGGCTCTGGCTCAGTGGGCTCACCCGCGTCCCAGCGTAAGGACATTGGGCGCTCTGAGTCGCTGCGCGTCGTCTCCCGCACCCACCGCATCTTCCGTCCCTCCGATCTGATCCATGGCGAGGTGCTGGGCAAGGGCTGCTTTGGCCAGGCCATCAAGGTGGGGCTGGGTGGCCACAAGTGATGGCATGAGCAAGAGGGGCTCAGCTTCCTGGGATGGAGCCAAGGGTATTGTCTCACCTGGGATGTCCCCAGAGGTGGCTCAGCCCCTGTGCTCCCTGCCAGGTGACTCACCGGGAGACAGGTGAGGTGATGGTCATGAAGGAACTGATTCGTTTTGATGAAGAGACGCAGAGGACCTTCCTTAAAGAGGTGAGCATCCCCTTTAAATCCCCTGGTTTGCGTGGGGACCCACAAGGGATAGGACTATCCTAATCCTGTCCCTCACCCTGACATGGGACACTGGGCACAGCACCTGGAGTGCACAGGGTGCATGCAGCCCTGCCTGTCTAATTGAGAGCATCTGAGCAGGGGATCTGGGCAATGGGTGCCGAGTTCCTTGGGGGTGTCACAGGCGTGGGGGGGTCTTGCAGGTGAAAGTGATGCGCTGCCTGGAGCACCCCAACGTGCTGAAGTTCATCGGGGTGCTGTACAAGGAGAAGAGGCTCAACTTCATCACAGAGTACATCAAGGGGGGCACCTTGAGGGGCCTCATCAAGACCATGGTGAGCACTGGGAGGACAGGTCAGACCTGCACCATCCCTCTCCTCTCTCCTCTTCTCTGGCAAATTCTCCCTCCTGCCCCCAGGACAGCCACTACCCCTGGAACCAGCGGGTCAGCTTCGCCAAGGACATCGCTGCTGGCATGGTGGGCATCACCAGGGAACAGATGGGCAGGATGGGTGCTGGTGAGTGGGGAACCATGATGGGGGGGTGCCCCCCACTCTCAGCGAATCTTTCTTCCAGGCCTACCTCCATTCCATGAACATCATCCACCGTGACCTCAACTCTCACAACTGCCTCGTGCGGGAGGTGAGTCCTACCTCAGTGGTGTCCTTCCCTGGCCTGGGTGGGGAGTCTCAGCCCCCTCCATGGCTCCACCCTGTGCCTCACTCCTCTCCATCCACCCAGAACAAGAGTGTGGTGGTGGCTGATTTTGGGCTGGCGCGGCTGATGGTGGACGAGAAGAGCCAGCCTGAACATCTCAAGAACCTGAAGAAACCGGACCGCAAGAAACGATACACAGTTGTGGGGAACCCATACTGGATGGCCCCTGAGATGATCAATGGTACTCCTGACTGTGGCCCAGGGGGGGACATGGCCAGCCAGAGCTCTGTCCCCAAGCAGGGGACACTTGGTGTGGAATGCTACATGTCCTGACCTATTTTTCCTCACAGGGAGGAGCTATGATGAGAAAGTAGACATCTTCTCCTTTGGCATCGTCCTGTGTGAGGCAAGTACCGTTGGGGTCTTCCCTTGGGGTTGGGGTCTCTCCTTGAGGTTGGGGAGTCCCTGTGGTGCTGAGTCCACTCCTCCCTCCCCATCTCCCCCAGATCATTGGCCGGGTGAGCGCTGACCCTGACTACCTGCCCCGCACCACCGACTTTGGCCTCAACATCAGGGGCTTCCTGGACCGCTACTGCCCCCCCACCTGCCCCCCCAGCTTCTTCCCCATCGCCGTCTGCTGCTGTGACCTGGACCCTGAGAAGCGGTGAGTGGGACCCTCCCTCAGGGAACCACTGGGGCTTGTGGCTGGGGGACACAGGGCCAGCAGAGCTGCCATGTGTCCCCCTTCTTGCTCAGGCCATCCTTCAGCAAGCTGGAGCAGTGGCTGGAGGCCCTTCACATGCACCTGGAGATCCACCTGCCCCTGAGCTCCCAGCTGGAGCAGCTGGACCGGACCTTCAGGGAGGTGCACAGGCAGGGCGAGGGAGTGCTGCCTGCACCCCCCCGATAGTTTCCCCACCCACACCACCTCTGAAGCTGCAGGAGAAGGACCTGCGCCTGCTGCCAGGATCTCCTCTGGCTGCTACCACCCCCGGGGCTGGATCCCTGGGGCTCCCCAGATGAGCCCCTGCACCCCGTCCCCCTCTGCACGGGCTGCCCACGCGCCCCACTCTCAGTCCTGCCCACATCCTCATGGGAGCTGGTTCTCCCCAGGGCTGCACAGTCCCTGTGCATCCCCAAGACACCGTAGCTGTTAACCCCAGGACAAGCCTGTCTGGCCACACCGTGGGGACCATCCCCATGTCCCAGTCCCCTCCTGCTGGTTTTGCTTTGCCTTTGCACGCTCGGGTTGCCTGGCTGCTGCAACCCCCCCCCAGCCCCGGGGACTCCCCCGGGCAGAGCCGCAGCCTCGCGGCAGTGCCTTGGCTCCATGAACTTGCACTGCAACACAGGAGGGATCCCCGGGTTCCTATGGTGGGGGAGGACAAGGCTTCTGGCCCCTGGGGGAGCGCGAGTTCCCGGATAGCCCCTGTAGCAATGTCCTCATCCTCAGCCAGTCCCTCATGCTGCTCTTGCTGGCACCCTGGGCTTGGGAGGCTGCCAGCATGCCTACTAAGTGAAGGGTTCCTTTCCAGGGGACAGACATCCCTGTGGTGTGGGGACAGGCACAAAGAGGTCCCTGTTGCCCTCCATGTCCCTGCTGACTATGCTAATCCGTGACTGCGCATCCCTGGGGATGGTGCCAAGTGATCTGGAGGGATGCAGGGATGCAGCTCATCTCCATCCCATCGCCCTGGGGGTGGTTGCAGGGGTGTTGTGCCACACGGTGCTTTTCATGCTCTTTATTCAGGTTCATTTTTCTGTAAGATATTTAAAGAGAAGAGTTTGTATTATTTTTTCATATGATGTAGCGTTTGCCATTTTTCACTGCCTTGGTTCTGCTTTCCCAAAGGGATGAAACTGTGAAGCCTTTCCACGCACTTTTTGCCCGGGAAGTCCAAGGTGACGTCCTGTCCGGAGGCAGGAAGGGAGCTCAAACTGTGATGTACCCCGAGCTGTGAGTCAATAAATCCTTCCCTGCTCGCTGCCCAGCCTGCTTGGGAATTGCTCGCCTCCCCTGGGGTGGCTGGGAGCTCTTGGGGAGTCTGAGGCAGGAGAGGGTTGGACACTCCACTCAGGGCGGTGCAGTGGCACCGCACTTGGTGGTGTCTCCCTGGCTGGTGTCATTTCTGTGGTGGCAGCACTGTTGTCCCCCTTCATGCTGTTACCACCTAACCATGAGTGCCCCCCCCCCCCAGCCCTGGGACTGATGCTTTCCCTGCCTGTGCTGCTGGGCTGGGCCCCCAGGACCCTTATCATGTCAACCCATGCAATGGCAGAGCCCAGGGTGGTGACAGGCAGGTCACAGAGCTGCATGACCATGGGCATCATGCAGCAGCTTTGCCTTCAATGTAATACACACCCCAGGGGACAGTGAGGTGGCCCATGGCCATTCCTTGCAGTCCTTATCACCTTCCTAAACCAAATTAAGGTCCCCAGGATGGGGGATATCTACCTTCAGAGGGGTTCAAGCTTTGGCTAGAGAAAACCTGGACCCCAAGGGGCTTATGGGGTGACAGAGAAGGGACTGGGGGAGGTCCCTGAGGAAACTGCCCAGGGGGGCTGCAGCTTGGTGAGGAGGGAATGAAACAGCTCAGCCTGATGGGGTTGTGGGATCCAGGCTGGGACTCTGCCACATAAGAAAAACCTCATGGTTTAGTGCTCTGGGGATGCTTGGCCTCAACACACAGGGCCTGGATGTGTTGGGGAGGTGATGGTGGCTCAGTCCCCCTTCAGGGTGGCTCCTTCATCTGACTGCCTGTCTCATGTCACCCTGGTGAACAGACATGAGCAAACACCCTTCCAGCATCATGATACCATCATGGTGCCCTTGGTGACATCGCCCTGCAATGGTTCTTTGGTCCAGGAGCAGGACACCAGTACTCCCCAGGAACACCAGGGTGGCAGGGGAATTGTTGTGGCCATCACGCCTGGGACACAGAGTTGTCCCCAACTCCCTGATGCCATGAGAGAGCAGGACTCTGGGGACCGTCAGTCCAGCAGCTGGAACCCCTAACCCTGTGGGACCCCTGATACCCCCGCAGCCCCTTGCACAGCTGGATGCAGCTGTGGAGTGGGATGTGCCTGGTGTACCCAGTGCCATTGAGCCACTTGCTGGAGACCCTGCAAAGGTCCCTCAGCACTGGGCAGGGTCAGCAACAGGCAAGAGCTGGTCATGGGCCAACCACAGTGCTGAAGCAGTGACAGCTCAGTCACCCCTGTGACCAGCAACTCATCTCAAAACCAGCCATCGGCCAGGAGCTCTCCCCCTCACCAGGCAGGGAGGTGGCCCTGGCACAGCCCTGGCAGCCCCACGCTGTCACCCACTCAAAGTGCCCCCCCAGGGGTGTGCAGCACCCTGTACTGAAATCCCAGCACTGTGTGACTGTGCAGCAGCCCAGCCATGCCTGCTCCTGGCCTGCACAGCCCCCAGGCCATGCCTGTCCCCTGGCCTCTGCAGCCTCCCCAGCCGTCACCTAAGAGACAAGGGCACAGAGACCAAGTTGCAGGCCACTGAGAGCTGCCCCATATCCCCATCTGAGATGGTCCACAGGGACGTTCCTGGCAAGGCTCTCCCTGAGCTCGACCCTGGCTTGACATGGTGGCCCTTGCTTTGAGTGGAGAGCCAGGTGTCCCCACCCAGCTAGAGGGCCAGCATCTGAGTGCCACTGAGGTGGTAGCAAAAGACACTGGTGGCTCTGGCAAGGATGTGGCCGAGCTGGTGCTGCTCAGCAGAGCCTCCCCCACCATCCTCCTGCACAAGGCCTGACCAAGAGCTCCAGCCAAAATGATAAGGAGAAGCCATCAGCCCCCAGCTGGTTTGTCACCTTCTTCATGGGTAAGGATTGAAACGTGAAGGAGAATGCAGGTTCCCCCTGGCATCATAGAAGGGTGGTCACTGGTGCTGGGGGGACCCTCCCAGGGGACAACAGCTGCCTGTGGGCATGGGGAGGTGACAGGCAGTAGGGTCCTCATGAGCCTTGAGGAGATGTGCAGAGAGGAAGTGCTAGAGTCTAGTTGAGGCATCCAGCTCTGTAGGGGTGTCTGGAGCTGGAGAGAAGGGTTGCTGAGGTCCCAACAGGGTACCCAGCTCCATAGGGACAGGGGGAACTGGAGGAGGTTTTCTGGGGTCCAGTGGGGCACCCAGCACCATAGGGACATAGGAAGCTGGAGAGGGGTCATTGGTGTCAAGACAGGGCATCCAGTTCCATAGGGGTATGGAGACAGGTCCCCTATCCTTGGCTGCAGGAAGCTGCTTCTGCACTGGATGATTTTCTGGCGATGGGTGGGAGGTGGCAATGGGGACCTCTGGAGCCCTTACCTCCAGAGCCAAATGTGGCTCTACCCACCCCTTCTTTGAGCTGGAGGCTGGACTAGAGATGTTCCAAGATCTCTCCCGTCCTACACCCCTCTGATCCACCATCCTACACCTGGCGCCTGACTCTGCAGGGTCTCTGTCATGGCTGGCACTATCCCCAGAGCAACCCTTTGTCCCCTGGGCAGATCATCCATCCTTCCAGCTCAGGACTAGTGACTTTGCATAGTCCAGGAGTAGCCTGAGCCTTCCTCCTGTGCATGAGTTAGAGAGGTGTCACTGTCACAGCTCTAGGTGTCCCTGGCAGCCCAGGCTGGGATGAGACACCTCCTTGGGTCACACATGTCACTGGGACCTGATGGCTCCATGGGGTGAATCGTGACCACAGAAACCCCCAGGGCACTGGGGGGTCAGTACCCACCTACTTTAGTTTCCCCTGCATATGGGGATGGGAATAAGGGCCTCCTTTTACCCTCACAGACAGGGCTGATTGGCATGCCAATACCCTCTGGCCCCTGAAAGGTGACAAAGCTGTGCAGGGAAATCCTATGGGCCTCACTTGCCAGTAGTTTTTGTAGGGTCTACATGGTATTTAAATATGGTATTTTTAAACACAGTATCAGGGATGTAGCTCTTCTAATCTTCACTGCATCACTGCTGTCTTCCCTGATTATCCACCCATCACTGCCAATGGGGACATGTGGTGACATTCAGGTTCATTGAGGGGCCCTGGAAAACATCAGCCCCTTCTGATGGGGAAACTTTTTTCTCTTTTGTCCTGCTGCCACCCTCCACTAGCACTGGTGTGAACCTCTTCCTGGCAGCAGCTCCAGAGGAGGAGGTAAGTGATGCACTGTGGCTGTAGGATAGGAACTTGGGTGCTCCTAATTCCCCAGTGTCACCAGGTCCCATGGCCTGATACCAGAGATGGGCAGCACTGGCTGGTGAAGCCTTGGCAAAGGATTTGCTGAGACTGGTGACACGTCATAGGTTGTGGGAGAGCTCAGCTGGAGGGAGGGCAGGCAGAAGACCTGTGTGGCCAGGACTGGGGGTGGGACATCCTGGATTTGTGGGTTATGTCTGTGACTCTCTGTCTCCACTGCTATGCCACTGTCGCACTGAGCTCACCTGGTGCTCACTCAGGGGGCTAGCATGGGCTGGACATGGGAGAGGGTGGCCCCCAAGAGCCATCTCAGGGTCCCCCCTGCCCTGACTGGGGGCTGCAGCTGCCTGGAGTGAGACAGCCTGGTGGGCAAGGACAGGTGACCCTGCTGCATGGGCTGGGGGGCTGGGAGACCCTGGCATGTGAGTTTGGAATTGGGGGAGGGGGGAAGGGGGCAGCACATGCACTTGGAGGCTCTTTGCTGCCCTGCAGGGACTTGGCAGGAAGAGAGACCCTGGGCAGTGACCTAGGGGCAGGCAGCCCTTGGTGGCTCAGATCAAGGGAAAGAAGGCAAAAGTCAGGAATCACATCCCTGCCTTTTGAGATGCCACTCTGAGCACAGACCCTCACCAACCTGCACCCTGTGCTCAGGATGGCTGGAGCAGCTCTTGGGGAGGGGCAGCACCATGGGGTGCCCCATGTGGCTCATTCT